TTTGTTAATTCTGGTACAAACGTTGAAACGTTTTAAATATTTTTATATAAGATGCTGAAGGAAAGGAAATTGCTAAAAGTTTACAAAATGATGATTAATATGTTTTGTAACTGCATTATCAGACCAAGTTAAACTGTGTTATGTGACCCTTTCCCCCTTTTAAAAGAAAAGAATAATTTAATCATTATAAGTACATTACGAAGGTATCTAACACTTATCTTAACAATATTATTTCAAAAAACTTAAACATATACCAAAACAAAAAATTCTATATTTCCAAAGTTTACTTAAGTTAACGATGATGATAAATTTGATACTATGAAAACTATAGTTAACTATAGTAATGACAATGATATTTTGATTCACTGTGGTTTTAATGATCCCTGTAATAGCTTGTATTAACTGTCGTTATCACTAAAATGTACTTTATATCGTTACATTTATGATGTTGAATTAATACATCTTGTTTGTTTAATAATATTTATATAACTTGATTTCATATTATTTAAAAAAAAATAAGTAAAATTCAAGACAAACAAAATTCATTTAAGAAATATTAGCAGGTTGCAGTTATTGAAAAACATATTTTTAAATATATCAAACTATTTTTTTATTTAAGAGAATGTATTGCATGCAATGTACATGGAATTTTTGGTAATATTAATCCTCTATAGATATCTTTGTTAAAATGAGAAATTTACAAAACTGGATAACACTTTGTTGTGAAAGTAAATAGACTATCAAATAAAATAATATATTGTAGAAATGCATTGTAAAATATAAACAACTAAACATTCACTTCTTAAATTTTAATTTACCAAAGTGATAACTTTGGTACTCAGATTTGCTATAATGTTAACTTTGACACAACATTGATGGCTATGACACTATAGAAATATCTTAGAAACTTGATTTATTTAACTATAGTCAGGTATATATAACATTTGCTTACAATACAGTGTTTTAAATTAAAAATTAAATTAAAAGCAATGAAGGAAAAATTTCAGTAGTACTGTGCAACAATATATTCTAGTAGGGGTGTAAATCAGATGTAGAAACTTAAGAATTCCAAGGAACTTATGGAAAATTTGAAATCACAGAATTTTACTTAAGTCAATAACATTAAAACTTACGATTTTTCAACTCTATATAAAACTACTGCCCACGATAAATTAATGTCCAGGCCTTTTGACATCATTGACAGCTGTTTTCTTAATAAAAATGAAACTCGTAAATTTACTTACCTTGTCATTGGTCATTTGCAAAATTATTTTGTTAAAACATTCTGATTGTACACACAAGTACTCCGAAGTTGATATTAAAAAGATGTTTGAATTTCTGATTGACAATATCAATGTGGTTTTTGGAGACCAGGTCTTCCAACAATCTGTTGGAATTCACATGTCATAATTATGCAAAGCTCTTCGAAATATGTTCATGAGAGTATGAACTTGTTTAATTAGTACAAATGTACAAAGAAACAGCACAATTGCATACCCTGTATTTGTTTATACAACGATTAATTATCCAACTTCTTTGAACGAATTAACAACAATACACAGCTACATATTAGACAAGTAAATAAACGCATGGGTTTTATAAAAGTAGATATACAAATGTAGATTTCTATATTGTTAACTTTAACAAGATTAATATACAATATCTAGCATTTTCACAGATTTCTCTACTTTTTTAACAAGCTAAGAACCTGTGAAATATTAAATAAATGAATGCATGCTAAAACACATTTGAAATTATGTAGCATACCAACATTTGCTCGAGGTTTTGAATTTGAATTTAGTTTTGTTTGTTTGTTTGTTATTAAACGTCCCTCTCGAGAATTTTTCCCTCATATGGAGACGCCACGCACCACCTGCCGATGGAGAGCTGCAAATTTTGACCTATGCTTGGCACTCAGGGCCATTGAGCAGTAAGGAATGTTTTTCTTGCCAGCAACTTCTGCGACAGGGGACCTCGGTTTATACGGTCTCATCCGAAGGACAGGTCTTCATGTCCCACAGTGAGATTCGAACCCCCGACGTAAGGATCAACTCCTTACTCCGCGACTCTAGAGCAGTCACTCTCACGCGGGTGAATTTGAATTTAGTAGATCATGAATAAATAATCTCATACTTACTGGCAAATACTTAACCTTCCTCTTCCTTAAAAATATAAATTAGAAACAATTATTGAATTGAAAGGAATGTTAAAGTTGCAAATAAATAAAGAAATTAAGGCAATTTACCGAAACCTAAATATTAAGGTGGTACAATAGCGATATTTTAGATGACAAAAAAGAAAGAAAGGAAAACAAAATGCACTCATCTGTAAAATGCAATCTATGTAATAAGCTTATTTTGATCTGTCCCTTTGCACAACGTGCTTTTTAAAGTACCATTTAGAAAAATAGCATAGAAATGTTATCCTTAACGGTTTAAATGAAAATTCTAGTGATCTGTTTTATTTTTAAATTGACGTGAAAAGGATTCATCAGGTGAATCAAAATTCGTACCGTATAAGATTTACATTATTCATTAATAACTCTTATTGACATTCATTGTGAAATTCAAAAAAAAATGCGGGGCAAAAAATCAATCATTTACTTCTTCTATTATCTTATCTGAAGATATTAAATAACTTATGTAATATCTAAATTCTTGCAAATAAAAGATTATTTTCTTAAGTGAACTTTCATTGGCATTACCAGATGGATGCTCTATTTCAAGCGTGTGTCAAACGCGAGGATGATGATCAATAGACTTCTAATGTTTGTTTAAGAATTCTGAAAAATTATTACAAGTAAAGTCACAACATCCTGGTTTATACCATTTGGAAAATATTATTCTCTGTATCAGAATGTTCTATAATGATAATGGGCAGTGAAAATGGTAAAAAGAGGGAAGTCAATATAAACTGAGCAATTATTTATGAATAATACTGAAATAAAAAACACAACAGGTTTTTATAACATCAACAGACTCCATATCAAAACAAGACAATTATCAATGCAAGACTAACGATCATTAACAAAATTGACGCTAGATGGCATGCAAAGAAGAACAGACATTCAAAGTTACAGTCTTACATGTCTTATTCTAAATAAAACATTTCAAAATTAATGTTTATATTTTCAAAATATTATAATTATGAATGTATGAATTTAAATTTCTTAAAAAGGCATACAATGTATTTCATAAAGCAGGTGTAAGTGAAAAAAGGCCTGTGTGTGAAATCGTAAAACACCTTTTTCAAACATGTTTTTATGAAAAACGTCTCTTATATTTACATTTGAAACATTAGCATTTACAATCAAATAAACATAGACCAAAATGTTACCCTTTATTCTCAATCTACTGTTGTGTGTTTTGAAGTATTGTTTTTGAATAATAGTAGTTATTGTGAAGAAACTTTGGATGATTTGACATATTTTTCAGAGTAATCCTATTCATTGTAAAGTAGCTTTGAATATTTTGAAAACTGTTGCTAAGTAAGAGAAGGTATTTCAAAGTTGCTTGGGATTTTTTGAAATATTTTTTTTTAGTTTATGTGTTTATTTTGAAGGTGCTTTGAATGTTTTGCTATGTTGTTTTTAAGTAAGGGTATTCTTATGAAGTGGCTTTAGATGTTTTCAAATGTTATTTTAGTAACGTTTGTAATTGTCTGTCTGTATCTCTTTGTCGTGGAAGGCTTGTCCATGCAGATGACCGTGACGTCCAGCCAATCGGAGGTACTTCATGTGCGTGTGTACTTCAAGAGATGAATTTTAGCCAAAAATTCAAACAAAAATTTAAGCAAGGTTTAATTGATTAATTATTTTGAAATTAACACTGTCTTACTGATACCTCAGATAGAATTATATCCCATCTTTATAGCGTGTATTGTATAAAAAAATCGTAATATTTTCAGATGCTCAATGCTTTCATTCATATGTCAACTCTATGTAACCCAGTGAGTTTGAAATATAAAATTACACAGAATCTGGCACATCAGTCTCATATTTGGATATTTTTACTAGAAGAGTATGTTAATGGTAATCTAACATCAGTACCCTATAATAAACGTAATAACTTCAATTTTTCTACCGTCAACTTCACATATTTATGCAGCAATATACCCTTATCATCTACATATGGTGTTTATATCTCCTAGCTGATTCGATACGCGATAGCATGCTATAAGGACGAAAAATTTCTAAAACGAGGCAAGCTGATGAAACAAGGATATCGATCAACAGTCTTGTCTGAATTACGCAAATAAAACATATCATTAAGTCGAATGCTGACTTACGTTTTTCATCCTAATTATTAGACCATTATTTACACACTGAATTGTCGATGGATTTTTCCGTGTGCCCGGCTATGACAAGGAGCACACGGCGGTTGTGACTGGTCGACATGGGATACATGCTCCTCCTTTGCACCTGATCCTACCTCTGATGTTTTTGGAGGTCCGTCTTTGCTTTGCTCCCGATTTGTATTGTTTCAATGGATTTTGTCCTTGATTACTGTTCGTTATCTCCATATTTCTTATTAAAAGTAGGATAAATACAGTATAAGATATAAACAAAATACATGTATTATATATTCAGGATAGTATAATTGAACATTGCAGAAAAAACATTAACTTAAATACAAGTTGTAATATGTAACGTTTATTCCTTTCTCTGTCGTAAGGTCTATATGTAGGGAAATAATAAATCTCGGTTTTAGCAGTTAAAATAAAATATTTTTGTCAAATATACTACACTGTTTTTATTACATCCATTGACAAAGATAAATTTTGTCGGTAGGATAATTCGGAACATGAGATAGAACGGACGGAACACCTTACAATTGAGTTCCTACTTCTGTTTTAAAAATAATGTACATATATGGAAATCTGACAAGGAAGTTACAACTTAAAGGAAACTGAAGGTTAAAAAAACGTCGCTTTATCAACCATAAATACATCTACGGAATACCAATTAGTTGCAATCATTTTTTGATAAAATTATCTTTTTTTTAATTTCCAAATTCATCTGTTTTTAGAGTCTCTGCTAGTCTTTCTTTAAAAGCTGATAATTCGCTTTCGTCCGCAGTACAAATTTCTATGTAACTCTTGTTTTCGATAAGGTCCATCCACTTCAAAGGTAATTCCTTAACGACACTCCTCTGTGGAATAATGAACAATAGAACGTTAGATCTCTCTCTAGAATAAACCGATTCTATTCGTGCCTTATTCATTTCTACGTCACACCAATAGGATTTAAGATAATGTGACGTCAAGAAGCAGACTGTTCTCCTACTGTTATGAATAGCGTTTGTGATATTGTCAACAACATCTGTACCTGGAATAAAATCCCTTTGATGTATACACAATCGAAGATTGAAGTTTTCTTCCAGGTTTTTGACAAGAGCTATTACAAATTCCCTGTCCTTGTCAGCATAGGAAACAAATGCGTCGAAGTGATAGCTTATATATTTGTTCGAAGTTTGGTGTCTTTTGTCACGCCTTGCTACATAGTATAAATAGCGTATCCTCCATCGGTACCGATGAATAATTCTACTAATGATGACTGTAACTGCAACTAGAAGCAAAGTTGATGTGATAGCTATAACCAATGTAAAGGAAGCACATTCTTTCTCCATTTCTTTCAGCAATCTTGTAAAATTATTGAAAGCTTTTTGGCTTGAATTCTGAAACAAACAAGTATAGTTATTCAAATTCAGGAATTCTATTTTTCTGGATTGAGCAATCCAAGTTAGAAATTTTATATTCGAGCACGAACAATGTAATGGATTGTTTTGTAAATTCAATGCAAGTCTTTGTGCTTCTGAAAATGTTTTTAAAGTTGTCCGTGTTTCTTCATTCAGACTGGAAAGCTGATTAGAAGATAGGTCTATCCATGTTAGCTTTGACAAATGAGATATATTCACACTGAAGATTTCAATTGAATTTGAACTAAGGTTTAAATGCGTGATATGGAAAAAACCTCGAAATATATTCCGGGGAAGTGCAGCAATTTTATTACTTGCTAGGTCCAGGACCTGCAAACTTTTCTGATTTCTGAAAATTCTTCCACCTTCGTCGCGTTTTAATGATTCTCCAAGTAAATTATTTGACAAATTAAGAACTCTAATATTTAGAAAATCAATAAAAAAGTTATCAGACACTCTGCTGCAAAAGTTGTTTGATAAGTCTAGGTATTGGACACTTTTCACCCCGTATACAGGTCCCTCAAATTTGTAAATTATGCTATTCTGAAAATGTACATGAGTGAATGTGTCAGTTACATTTAGAAATAATGTAGGAAATACAAATTTGTACATATTATCATGAAAGTAGACTGTCTGGAGATTTGGTGGAAGATAAATTGTGGTGTTTGGTTTTCTTCCAACTTTTTCTCCATTAAATGATCGAACCGAGTAAAAATTTAAGGCATTCCGATGGTAGTCACGATATTCAAATTCAAGATTAGCATTTTTTGAATGTAACTTGAAGCGGGAACCAATAGAACGTAACTTATGATGGAAGCCAATAGAAGATTCCAAAATATTGTATTCATGTCTGTCTTTGCAACGGAAATTAAAATCGGCAGGATCAATTGCGTGAAAACTAGACTGATAACTCGCATTTACCATCACAACGTTAGAAAGCTGTCCAAAATTTAACAGATATGCACCAAAGCTCAAAATATTGTCAGCAAAGTTAAATATACGAAGAGTCTTTGGAAGATATGAAAACATTCCAAATTCAAAATGGTTTATTCTGTTAGAAGCTATGTTAAGTTGCTCCAGAGATGTGTTGGAAAGATATCGGACTTGCTCGATGTAGACAGCTGTGCTGATACCGTATGTACACTGTACTTTCTCCAAGTTCAAAACTTTTATTTTTGTAAACTGTAGATCAAATGATATATTTATCAAAGTTAACAAAGACAGTTCAAGATTGTATGAGAGATCTAAATGGCGCAGTTCACTCACAATCTTAAATGTTTCTTTTTCGATTGTTCTAAGCTCATTGTTTGATATTGTAAGATTCTCCAGGTTTCGTAGGTTGTAAAGGGACTCTTTTGATAATCGTGCAATGAAATTATGCGCTAAATTTAAATATTTTATTCCTCCAGTTAGATTGCATGGGAATTCCAGAAAAAAATTCCATTTGAAATCTACACTCTCAACATTTGGATGAAATTCAGGAGCAACCGAAAGTCCTTTATGGGAGCAGTCGGCGTGCAGGTATCCATTTATTTTAAAGCATATACATTTGGCATTCGATGAACAATTCCTCAACATGGAGCATTCATGTCTTATAGCAATTGTTGTCAAGAGAAGCCAGAGGACACTGGTGACATCCATTTTCTGGAAAGAAAACGTTATGGTTTTATTGAAAACTGCAAATACTTATCTCGTCTTAGGCATTTCATATTTTGATGAAATACTTGCAAAATAAAAATAAGAAGATAAGATTTATCATTTTTCTTACTTTTATATTGAAAGGACAATATATATGCAAAGGAAAACCCATTTTTGTCCTTGGTTTGGGGTGTTTCTCAGAAGAAAGCAATAGTTTATAATCAAAAACCTGTTGTCATCGCTGTTATAAAATGAGTATTGATTCTTAGTGAAGGGATACATAGAGGTAACAGAGAAAGGCCACATAATGTGTCAATTTCCAAATTTTCCCAATTATCTTCTAAATTTTTTTTTATCAATTTTAAGGCAAATTTTCTTTCAGAAAAGACAGAGTACAAGCTTGCCTATCTAACAAATTTAAGTATTCCATTCCATATTCACTACATCTTGTGTGTGACAATCTCAGATAGGCAACCCTGTGCTTAATGTTTCTGAACTGGAAAGACATATCTCTTGCTGAATTTGCTGAATTTCCATCATAATTTTAAAAAATCTGCAATGTGTTCTTCATTGTCACCCTTTTGAGACTACCATGTACATTTCGAATCCATTCATATCTTCCGATTCCAATCTTGAATTTTAAAGATACAAAATTATATTGAAAACAAGTTGCTTTCATTTAAAAAAGGACTGCAATACGTGGACCATATGCATGTGTTTCTAAATGAAATTCAAAGAAATTTTCTAGATTTAATAAATTTAATTTTTTTATCTTGTAATTTTCATCGTTATTAAAGTCTGCTTAAGTCTGCTTAATTAGACTGTAACGATAAAATCATGACCTTGAAATGATATAAATATGAAATGTTGATCTAGGTATCTACCACAATTGTAAAGTAGCTTTGAAATTAACAACAGAATTGAAAGAGGTTTAAGCGTGCAGGTATCAAAATGCATGGTTGAATATTGATTTTAACTCCATTGGCGGATCCGGGTAGGGGGTGGGTTTCGGGTGTTGGAACCCCCTTTAATTTTGCAGAAAGAGGAAGAGAGAGAGAATGTTTTTTCTGTAATATAGATATTTTTTGTCTAGTATTTTCAATAAAATAAGTACTTCAACCTCTGCCCTTTTTGCTCTCTAGATAGAGTTTTGCCCATTGCTTTCCTCCGTGTCCCTTCACAACCCCGGCCCCGGGCCTCGACCACCAACACGTAACATGAAAGATTTCACTTTGATATCATCGGAAGATTCCGTCGAACGTACGGCTATGCATTTTTGAAACATCTTCTAAAGTAACTAACTTTAAGAAGTATGCATAAAAAGTCATGAAAGGGAGTATCCATAAGAGAATATTTATCTCCTTGTATTATGGGGATATTTTAATCAATGAAGAGAAAAGGTTTAAAATGTCCCCGTAGTATGTGGGGGAGGGGGGCTCACTTTTTCTTAAAAAAGTAATCTTTAAATTTGTTATAATTTGAATATATAAGTTTTGATTTGCATTGGAAGCTTCCCCGCTTTTTTTTTGTTCCGGGAAGGTTCAAAATACGGAAAATCAAACAATTAAAAGAAATCAAAATGTACCGAGAAGTTAGACGAAGTCCCCCCTCCCACCCCCGAAAAAGGATTTTACAGTGTGTTGCACAGGTTGTTATTTTAATTTATTTATTTCTTTTTGCTCGTCAATTCTTTTTGGAGGTTGCCCTCTTTGAAAACCGTTGCTACGGGCTTGAATGTAAGTGCCTGCGGTGTGACCTAGAACCCCCCCCCCTTTTTTTTCAAAAACTGCTGTATCCGACCCTGTACTGGAGCAATAGAGGGTCTCGGCACTAGAGGGTCTCGAGTTATCTAAAATGATGCTGGGTTATCGATTAACTCGATCAATTAGAAACAAAAAAGATTACTTTTGTGTGTGTGTGTGTGTGTTTTTTTTTTCTCTGTCTCTTTTTAAATAACGGAATGGTTAATATACAACACCTGCAATCGTAACTTCTCGGCAAAACAATGTGCTTTTTCCAAGCTCGGCAGAATGTCTGAGATGATACGATTGACAATCTCATCGCACGTGTAGACCTAGGCTATTTGGTCTTGCAAGCGCAGGTGTGTGCACTGTTTGCTAGTAACGCTTAGACTGTATTTGCTACGGACTATATTTGAAGAACTATACACCAGTTTCATAACGTGCAGTTTTTTTTCTAGTTAAAATTGGAGTAAATTCAAAGTCGAATATCTTGAATATGGGGTTACCCATGTCTATTCCGGTTACAACGACGGTCAATGCATCCATGGATCGACGAGTTCATTGAATACTCTGAAAGGTGGCACAGGTTTACCTTTCGTTAACATTTTCTACAATGATCTGCCTACTTTGAGTGAATGTATTTTCATAGCAAAATTGTTAAATTTTATTCCCGATTGGCCTATAGTTTTGTCATTACAAAAATCCACCTATTTCGATACATGTAATCCATAACGGCTGGGACTTGACACCTGTACTAGATTTATACAGAAGGTATTCTATCATTGGAAAGATAGATGGTACACGTGTAGCACACAAAATTTGCTTTCTCTCCCCCACATGAAAATACTTGCTACAGGCCTTTATCAAGCTATATTTTGATTGCTGTCTATCAAATTATTTTGCGAACCTTGATGCACAAAACTAATACCGGTAAACATGGTAAAGACTATCTTTAAAAACTTAGTGTTTGAATTAAGTTTTTAATTCAACATGTTCAAGCTGTTAAGCTATCTATATAAGTTCTCCATACTTATTTAAAATGCTTGTACCATAGAATTTAGTTTGTATATAATGATATATGTATCAAAGAGAAATTCAGATCGTGATTACGCCAAATAATACATAAATACGATGTGCAGATTTTAGAGCGAGGTTTGTCAATTATTGGCATATTCTAATTCGACAAAGCCGAATTGTTCTAAGGGCAAGTTGTCTTAGAGGCGAACTCTCTAGCATTCTCGCGCATGCGTAGCCAGACGTAAGCCCATGGCATCTGGATTAACCCGCTTATTTGTTTCTGCGTGGACCTCAGGGTCCATGCAACAAACATTTTGTCCTTTCTGAACTTTTATATGAAATTTTTAAACACTAATATGACGAAATTTTTTATGCTAGGTATTTCAAAGCTAGATAGGGGTGTTTGTTAGGTTCATATTTGAAATCCAATACTCGGATATCTTTCTATGCCTTTGGGTCATTAATTTCCTTTTAGCTGAACACGACTCGTAAATTGCCATACGCAATACAGTCTATTAGTTTTCCTATTTCCGATATCAGCATTAGGGTATATACCCTTCGCATTTGTTACACCTGATTGCACACCTGGAACTCATGACCGACGTGTATCATTTCAAACGTTGTCTTAGTGTTTACATTTTACTTCATTATTTTACGCATTTTTGTTCGTTTTTAAAGTACTGACCTGTATAGTTGATGTTGACTTAAAAGAGTTGCAAACATTTGATTATTTATTTGCGACCGAGTAACAATGTTGATGTCTACACCGTATACTGACCTGTGTACGTCTACACCGTGTACACCGGTCAGATCTGTACAGAGAATTACTTCGAACCGTGAATTAGGCAATGGCATAAATGTTGTTAGTTTGTTTGTTCGTTTAACGTCCCTTTCAAGAATATTCACTCATAATGAGGCGCTACCACTTGCGGGTGGAGTGCTGCAAAATTTTACATGATCGGCACTTACGGTCTTTGAGCAGTGAGGGATGTTTTTGTGCCAGCACCTACTGCGACACGAGACCTCGGTTTATACGTCTCATCCGAAGGACAGGTCTCCATGTCCCGCAGTGATATTGGAAACCGTGACAAACGGATCAACTTCTTACTCAGCGACTCTAGAGCAAAGGCTCTAACAACTGCGGAACGCGGGCGACCAGAAGCATGTGCAGGGGTTTGATTAATGAGGTGAACGAAATATGGCGGGCAAGGATAAATATCTTGCTTTTACGAGTCGAGCTTAGCTTTGATATACCTTGTTTATGATTTGTAAAACAATTAACTGCTCAAATGCACAGATTTGTGGAGACGTTCATGCATACATATATTCGTAGTCTACCGTCTTACTAGTAGAGATTGTTCTATCTGACGTATCCGTATACGTATCCGTATACGTATCGAAGTATGAGAGACATCTCGATCCCGATGGTTTAACCGTTGGGTAACATTTCCATCGTTTCTTGTTTGATTTTAACCTCATTCATTGGAAAATAAGATATATAGTAATATTTCTAATGAAACGTATCAAGTTGCTGTTCACACCTATCATTTTATGGAAGGATTTTAAAAAAATAAAATTAGTAAAAAAAAAATACGTATATTTTTATTAAATTGTTAAAAAATTAAAAAAAAAAGGTTCAAAAAGGGACTCTCTCTCTCTCTCTCTCTCTCTCTCTCTCTCTCTCTCTCTCTCTCTCTCAATATCAGGATATATTATTGTTTCATTCTAGAAGTAACCTTTACCAGTACAAGACATATTCCCCATAATGCATACAGTCAACGCTCGTTATCTCAAACTTGATTGGACCAATTAAAACTTCGATATATCCAAGGGTTTGAGTTAACAAAGTTTAACTGCACGAGGTGTCAAAGATCAAACATTCTAGATGAGTATAAGTTTGTCTACATCAAGCAGACACTTAAAATTGATTAACAAAGTGGAGAAGGGGGAAGCTGGGCCGAGGCAGGGAGAAACTAAAAAATGACAAGTCACCTTATCAAAACTTTGACAATAGAAAGGTGACCATACTGCATACTCTGTGTGTGTGGGGGGGGGGGGGGAGGTCACTGAAAATTTCCATCCTCATTTTCATTTTTATCATTATCAACATTCTGTATATCATTTGATTATATTTGATGGACATAGTTCTCCAGAAAAGCTTTGGAAAACTGGCAATTCTGGGGTGGTTTGAAGACTCTAAATTCCCTAAATTGTTAGGTGATAGCGCATCCGAAATTCCAGAGAGCTCGAGAAAGGACTACGATTTCCGAAAGTGATGCAATTATACGCAGTTTTTGTCGGGGATGAATTAACAATTGTCGATAAAAGGAGATAAACGGAGAAATTTTTTTTATGTCTTATACATTACTTTATATACATGTTGACTAAAATTTACTTAAATGATTTATTTATTGAAATTAAGATGACTGTAATTCTTTGTGTACAAGCGGGATCAAAACTCTGAAAAAATGCTGATATTTTATCAATTAAATGTTTGGTATAAATTTTATCCTTTATTCTGTGTGTGTGTGTTTTTTTATTTCTCTGCTACGTTGAAGCAGCCTCTTCTATTCAATTCTATGAACTGCGTGTTGAATTGACTCACACTTGTCCCAATCTGGGCCAAAATGCATAAACAAATAATTAAAAATAAAAATATAAATAAATAAAAATCAGCTGGATGGACAAGGTAGCATAGAAGAAATAGATAAATCTAATGTTTTGGCATTTTTTAGTCTAATGTTCTTTT